TTCTTTTAATTATTTTTTTACATCCATGGTTAAAAATAGACTGGAAAGAATCATCACTCCTCAGTTAATTTAACTTTGTAACGAACTATACTATTATAAGCAATTTTTAATTCGAGTACCAGATATTACCAGAGATTTCGGAATGTAAAATCGTGAAATATTGTTAATATTTCATAATACAAAATCATAATCATTCAGAAAGTATTATATTCTAAATGAGTTCCCCCAAAATCTTATCTGTCTCCCAAATCCTTTCGTATTTCTTTATTGTCGGAATAAATTCTTTGCACGATATATGCCTGATCACAAATGATATTGTCATTTTATGATTATTGCAGCTTTCAGAAGGCTATTATTTAATTGAATTTGTCATGTATCCACGTATTAATAGTTATCATGTGAAAAAAATGCGATTTATTTTAATATTAATTTTTCAAATTTGGAAAAAGCTTGATTATTCTGAAAATGAGGAAAATCTCATTTCCATTTCGTGTCAGTTTTAGATTTATATTCAGACGAATGTTGAAGTTTCAAGAAATCACTAATATAAATATAATATTCCTTCGAACAGTTCCTTATCAAAATAACTTTCCTGTATCAAAATACTTTTTGACAAAAATTAAACCTTGTTATGTGCCATTTATTTTTATATTTATCAACAAAATGTATTGTGTTGCTCCGAGTTACTAATGTAGCTAGAATAAAAACTCAAAAATGTTTGAAGAAGTTTAAATAACTAATACAGGCACTCTCTTGATTATTGCACATACTTTTTTCCGATCTCATAAAATTAGTTCCATCCTTATATGGATAGCGATAACAAAATTCACATTAAATTCAAAATCCCAGACTTTTTACATAAGCTAGGGCACAAAAAATGAAGCATCAAAATTCGGGATTTTCCCACAATAGCGAAGACATCTAATCAACCCGCTTTTAGATTATTTTTTACATTTTATCGTTAGACTTTTGTTCTTACATTTCATATTTCTCCTCAAAAAAGGGTAAATTCGATTTCGTGCACTTCTTTTAGTTTTATGCGAAACTGTGGCAACAGATAATTCATGCGATACAATATCATCATCGAATGGATAAAACCGTTTTTTTAAACAAAAGAAAGCCATCAACATTTACATTGGTCGCGTTTCGAAAACTTGATAGCCTATTTCTACGTAGAAATTCTTTTTAGGAATGTTATTTTCTTACATTTTACAAGTAATCACATCCTACCGTGATTTTTTCAAAAATAACACAAAACTGCACATAAATTTAGAGTACAAAATCTTAAATAAAATATTTTACTAAAAATATACACATTTCATTGATTATCAATAAATTTGTAGACATAAGAATTATCAATGAATTCGCAGCATATTTAAGTTTAATATCTATCTCCATATTCTATAAACTTCGTAATTTTTCTTCTAAAGCAAATCTAATGCATTGCTTCTTCGTTATAACGCGAAACATCTCTAAACGAGTTAACCAAATTAAATGAATCGAGTAAAGATTTAAACCTGTGCTATTACACCGAAAGTAAAACGTTCCTCGATAATAATATAAAAAAGTCTAGCAGTTACATAATATAAAAAATAAGTGCATATGCATTTAATAATGAGCTTCGGAAACTATTTTTATATATTCCATTCAACATATTACGCACGTAAAAGCAACAAACAAAACAAAATTATGCAGAATATACGACACAACTACATAAAATGTAATATGTTCAAAAGTATGCATATTCTTGCGTGTGCATTTAAATCACATAAAGCACCTCTGTACATGAATTTAGTTATTCGATGCTCATATAACGCATATAATGTAACGTTATACAGTTATTTATTCGATACGCATATAACTTTATACAGTTAGTTATTCAATACGCATATGTTTGTAAATGCGGAATTTCAGAAAATCATCTTCCATAATTTTTGTCGAAAATCTCAGTTGTCATTCATACATTATGCTATTTTCCACTAAAATTAAAATTTTTATCCTTTTAAAATTTTTTAACAGAATTCACAGTTTTTAATTTTTAGCGCGCATTTATTTTGAAACCGAGTTATTCGATAGAAAAGTTTACTACTGGAAGGAATTACTGCTTTGTTGCTCATTATTCTGAAACCGCATTTTTCAAATGTGGTTTTTGGCAACACTTGGCTTAAAATTCGAATAAGAGATTTATCTTGCAATGCTATAAGAAAAATCACTATAGTAATAAACTGCAGCTAACGACTAAATGTAATTTTTTGACAATTAGTCATAATTCGGAAATGAAATAAAAAATAAAATATTAACATTTTTATTTAGTTAAACAAAAAATCAAAATCTGCTGCTTAAAACTCAGTTATTTCCGAAGTAACTATAGTTTTATGTAGAAGATTTTTTATAACTGATGTTAATAATACATAATTAATAATGCAGTCATTATATTGCCTGATTTTTTAAACTACCATATAAATTTAAAACAACAGTCACATGAAAAATCTACATAAATACATAAGATGTGTCCCAATTTTGCAATTATCGTAGTCAATTTGATGTTAAAATTTGAAGAAACTGAGGAATTATGTATTCATTTTCACGCTGAACTCAGACTATGATATTTTCATTTACTTTAAAAGGAAATATTAATCACAAAAAAGTTTTACAACTTTAGATTTGAAGGGGTTCAAAACATTTGAGTAATAAAGATAATCAAGCATTATATACGAAAATAATATTGTACTGTCATCCAACTGCATTATAGTGTCATCTAACTAACATATGTACGTATAAATACAGTATGTAATTACTTTGTTGCACAGTGACAGGATCCTGGACTACTTAATATCAAAAATACGCAAAATAATTAGCAATTAATTTGAATAGATTGAACAAAGTTTACAATCAGTTTTAAATATTATAAAACATTCTTCATTTTCATCTCATGCAACATTTTTAAGTCATAATGTCCAAATTGATCGCAGTTACGGATGATTCGGAAAACTGTATGAATATTAGAAGGGGAAAAACAAAAATTAATTAATTAAATCTGAGGAATTCAGAAACTGTTAAACTCATAAACGGTCTGATATGCATAATTTGATTAATTATTCCACACACGCTTCAAAATGCCAAAGATCGAAGTGCACATAATTAGTGTAAATGCAACGATTTTTACTGTTCAGCATAGCCGCTAATAATAACAACATACCTACAGATATGTGTTTTGGTTATACAGATATAAAAAAACAAAAAAGTGAAATCATGCAACCTTATTATAATATCACGGCAAATATAGCCTATTCATTAGCGACAAGAGGATGAATGAAAGTTTTCCATACGCATAATAAGAAAATGCTATTATGAATAATTACAAACTAATTTTTGGTGAATGCAGTTTTGGCGTCCCTCTATTGGTCAGAGAAAACAGAAATGAGCAGAAAAATACAAAATATGAAATAATATGAACGTCTGTCAGAAGATACCTAAAATCGGGAAAAATTAAATTCACATGCGAAAACAAAGAAATTGAGTTTGACTTTAAAAATCAAACTCATATTTTAAAATATGCACCCTATTTCTAAACTTTCAGGTTCGAAATTATTAAAAATCTTGATCTGAAAAAACTACTTTCATCACTATAAATTGAATATCTTCTAAACCTAAACCTAGTTGACTCATGCATATCGCAAACTGATGCCATCAAAGCCGTGAAAATACGCAAAACATTTCGTTTCCTTCGCTAAGTATTCTTGAATTCTCAAATGCTCTGAAAACAGTGCATTTTAAGATGAAATTTTATGTTCCGAAAAAAGATATAAATAGCAAAACGTGAAATTTAAAAGACCGATAAAAGATCAGGAGATAATAAAAAACACTCGCTACACTTTTCTTCGCAAAAGTACTTCATGATAGTTGCATTTCTACGAAAAGGAATTCCATTGCTCATCGTTATTAAATTTGGTTCCATAACAACAGATATTTTCTAAAAAAGAATCGAACAAAGTTACATATACATCTCTCCGTATTTTAAAAAAAGCAACTTTAAATGTGTTATTAATCATTGCCACCAGTTATCGTTTGGCAGCTCCTTTGAGACTGACTTGAAAAACTGAATCCCAAACCTTTAGACGCGCACTCTGCATGTTAATTTATTTCATCCCTACTTTTGCTTCCAATACAATACCAAATTCTCAAAAAAGGAAAATCTGGATGCTAAGCAGAAAAAGAGAAAAATTATTTATGTTCTAAACAATTCCATCTCCTTATAAAATATGTAATAGCAATTCACAGAAATAAATGAATTTATTACTATTATTATTTTAATAAAATTAGTAATGATTTCCTCACGCAGTAAATATTACCAAATTTTGGATTTGTGTTTTCAGAGGTCTGAGAAAAGCACCTTAAAAATGTATATTTGCTCGCAATATCTGAAAGAATCTAGGTCATTTAATCATTCTTGATTATATTTTAATTTTATTTGATTAGTACGAGTGCTCAAGGCTTGAACACGTTAGATTACATGCGGTTTAATCTGTGATATTTCATTTGCTTGCGCAGATGCATCTCTTTACCTTTCAGGGAAAATAACGAGATTTTTTGTTGTAGAATATTTTTTCCCGATAACACAAAATTTGTTTTTAAGAATGGTTCAGAAAATGTATATCTTTATTTGGAGGTCTGTAGCATTCCATCTGAAGCCGATTACGCGTAAATGTGTTATCGTAACAGTCTAAGATTAAAAAAATCTCTTAACTTCTGTAAACAGTGCAATTAATATCTGGTTAAGACTATTCGTCAGTTGAAATATAAATTAATTTAATTTTTGTTTCATAAAGTAATCTGAAAAATTCTCATCTTCTTTATCATTCTCGTATGATTTCCTTCTTTGTATAAAATTTTACTCCCAGTAACTATCTATTCTATAATAACATACAGATGCCTGGAGAGAGATATATGTGCCTAAATATAAATTAAACACATCAAATGAGAAATGTGGATTCACTGACCTTTTACGAAGACAGATCGCGGCGGTCAGACTCTCTGCACCGATTCTGACAAGCACCGGCAAAACTGTGGTGTTGGAGCCGCAAGGACTCGACCCCGAACTCCGTGATTCGTTTACCACCTGCACAAATAGACGCTAAGTCGAAAACATGTGTACGAAATCGACGGCTGTTCCGCCGACACTATGTTCCAATAGAAAAAGAGAGCATAGTTTCAGAAAGCAGTAAAAATCCAGCCTCTTTTCTCATACCACGAGGCAGTGTTTTGAGGAATTGTTGTTATTCTCCACAAAACTCGCAGCCGAGCTGACGTACGTCTCGACCGAATGAGCGACACGCACCTAGTGCCTCGGATTACCCGGACTCGCGCTCAGTCAATGAGCCACAATCGCGAACTCGGGTTGCCGATGGGAACGGCAGACTGCTTGGCGCCAAGCTTGATGACGATGCTCCAGGCGAATCGCCAAAGCAGTTCGCCAAAGATGATAAGATTTCTTCTGGGTACCGAAGTAACAATTTTCAATGCTTCGCATAGCATCGCTTTCCCTAACCATCTACATTCAAATAAGAAAAATCGTACAACTTAAGAGAAAGAAAAATTAATGAAACTGAACTATTTTCTCATTCGTTAGATTTATGTTAATATATTTTTCATTTATATTTTTTTAAAATAGAAAGGAGTTTACAATGCACAGAAAATGGACTCGGGGAAAATAAACTACGATGGAGCCTTGCATAAATAATATAATCTATTCGAGGACGGCATTCATTCCGTAAATCGTTTGCAATGTGTGCCGCTATTTCCCACAGATTACTGTAGAAATGATTTAATTCTTTCCTATTCCTGTCCCAAATCGCAAAACATTGGAATCTCCAAAGAAAGTTAAAAATCTCATCAGTGTTAGAAGTGCTGGAATTCACTTATTTTTAGTTGCAAAAATTGTTTATTTACGGCATGTATACATGCCGTAAATATACGCCTTTTTTACAGAAGATAGAAGGCTAAATCTGTGTTTGAAAGTCTTGTATGTCTGTCGTTTATGTTTTGGCAGGCCCCGATGTCAAGAAAGGTCTTAAGATGATTGCATTAGCCCCTTTATCAGGATATTTTTTAATTAGTGCATACCATCTTCACTGAAAAGATCTGCCACTCTATTTATATCAGCTTGATGGGAATTGCTTCATGAAAAGGTATTGCTGCAACACGTATGCGCCTTCTGTGTGCCACTGTTCTGTTGTTGCTTATGCTAACTTGTCTGACGCAGTTAGCACAAGCCCACGAAATTTCTCGTTGCAAGGAGCGCTAGATTACGCCTGCCGTTGGTAACAGCCTTGAGCAGCATTCAGGTGAGAGTGCGATTTAGCTCAGTTCCGCCCACTTTTGATGGAGAGCACCCCGGGGAGAACGGGTCTGAGGGTCTTCCACCCCTATCCGCTTCCATCACTCTCCCCTCCCACCAAACCACACGAGAGGACTTTCGGCTCGCCGCATATTTAGAGCGTCGCAATGCCGCACCGATAATATACATTTACAAACATCCATGCCTTCTCCGGGATTTGAACCCAGGCCCTTCGGCACGGCAGTCAGAGATACTAACCACTATACCAGTTGGGCAGTGCTCCTGTTCTTCATCAGAAGAAACATCCCTTCGAGTTTCCTTTTGTTCAAGCAAGACTTTAGCGGTAATATGCTACTAAGAAATATGTGTTACTTGCATGCTTCTTTTCGTATTGTCTTTGTTTATCCGCAGACGTGTCTTCTGTATTTATGTGTTGCTCAAACATAAAGTGAAATAATTTAAGTATCGCATTAACGGTTAATGACGTGTGACAATACTCGCAGTAATGCAAGACGAAATTCGTTATGCGAGACATTTCAGTCCTAACGCGTATGCGTCCACTTAGGTGTTCGCACAACTGTATGGAAATTATCTGCTTTCAACTCTAAATATTCTTCCAAAACTCGATTCGTAAAAATGTTTCTCTGTCTTTAAATAACCATTAAAGTATACCAAGAAGTTTTCTGTTTTACTGCCACAAATTGTTTAAATCCAATGTTGAAAGCCCGAACTGGGGGTCCAGCGTCTAAAGCCGTAAAAACTCCAATGCATTTCGGAGCTAAAGAATGATATTCTTTAGCTAAAGATATTCTAAAGCTAAAGAATGATATTCGGGTGACAGATAATTATTCCGTCCTTTATACGCGTGAAACGCAGATATTAGCTAATTTTCTGAAATTTTTTTTTACGATTACAACCTTCAGAAATGCTCTGCACGTATAAAATCAAGCCAAAACAGTTTCCGGTTGGCGTAAATTTTATATAAAATTCTCTCAATTTCAAGGATGACTGATGTATATCACTCTTCTTCCTGCTCTTTGAAGAGAAGGACTTGATCTAGTTCCTTTCGAAGTTCTATTTAAAAATTGAGACAGTTAGTTTTTCTTCTAATTTTAAGTTTTACTTCAGAACAGAAAGCAAACCTCTGGAATCCAACTTGGCGAAAAAGAAAAGGGGGGCCTTCTTGCAGAATGTTTTAAGGGAAAACGGCATATTACAGTTGAAAAACCACGAAAATCTCATGCAGCCGGTTCGTTTACAGAATTTGAACTCGGGTCGAACTACCAGAATTCAGCAGTTATGCCACTTAACCACTGTTATTCTCTTAGTCTCTTAATATAACTATTTAGACTATGAAAAAGCACAAAGGGGAAATGTGCCTTCATGGAGGATTTTTCAAAGGAAACTTGTTCTCATTCACGTTGCACTTCTGAGCCTAGACATTATGGTAAGTAAACATATTTTATGTTCATAGACACAGTGTTTAAACTAAGTAATTTGAATATTGGGAGTTAAGTATAAAACTATAGTGTTTAAAATTTTGATATCTGCGATATGTCATTTAACAGCCATTAACGGTTACGGCATCTAGGGAAAACACTCATTATTTGAGCTTCATTAATCATGAGTTTATTTCGAATATTTGGAAACATGATCATGCTGTACAGTCTGGTTGCTCCAAAACATATTTCGTCTCTCTACCTATGAGGAAAAAATCATCGTGGAGAATTTTCGAAGGGAAATTGATTCCTATTTACAGTACAAGTCTGGGAATCATGAAAGCTTCATAAAGTTAGCTATCCAATCACTTCTGAATTTGAAAGGCGTCATGTAAGTAGAAAATTTTATTTTATTTATTTATTTAATAAGTTATTTACTTTCCTGAGTTTTAGATTGGATTATTTAATAAAAGCCAAGTAGACGGCTGTTTGGAAGACCTTTTAAGGAAAACTAACATGATTCCCGTTACGCATGGGTGAAACCACGAAAGTACCCATGCAAGTACCCCGTTTGCTTGTATTTGAATTCAGGTCCAACTATGAGTTTCAGCAGTCATCCATTTGGCCACTGGGTGAGCTTCCGTGTTTTAATTCACATACATTTTTATATAATATTAGGTCATTATAATGTACAAAAGATGAGAATGAGTTAGCAACCATTAACTTAATTTCAGTTCCATTTTATGTGTACTGTGCTTAAACGAATATTATTAAACCTTCTGTAAATGTTATTTTAGAGAAAATAATTAAGTTGTTGAGAATGACAATAATTACAGTTCGTATTTCATTTTGTGTTATTTAACATGCAGAACATAAAATATTCCTAGAGAGAAAATTCCTAATAAACTAAATCATTCAAACATTTTTTGGCTCTTTCATGAATTAATAATTTACTATTCAAAGACCCTAACAAAAATCATGATCACAGTATCCTTCTCTTATCTGCGACTGATAAGCCACTCGGCTTCTGTACTATATTGCTTCCAAATATTGATTTTTTACATTCAAGTCTAGAAAAAGAAGTTAATTAATTTCATTTCGTAGTAAGTAGAAAAATATAATAAAGAAATATTGGATAAACTAGTCGAAAATCATAAATAATATTATATTATTCTGAAAAATGATCATAACAGCTTCAAAAGAAAAACAAAATTCTCATAGAAATAAGAATGCAGAACTGGAAATTCCCTTGCAATTTATTAAAAGGTAAATAGTTAATAAAAATTAATTAATACCCATGAACACAAAAACGAACAAATAATTCATAAACAAAGCCCTTTCATCAGCAAATATTCACATGATATTTTAAAATAAGACAGAATATTAAAAAAATCTCATTTATTAATTATACTTTTACAAAAACAAATTAATAAGTCGCATTATTAAATTTAGAAATACCTAAAACTTCAGAAATATTCTTTTATACCTTACACTGGATACAGAAAATTATTCCTTAGTGAGGTTTTGTAATCATGAAATATAAGCCTTAGATTTTATCAGAAAAAAATATTTTAGGGTTTATTATTATTTATAATAATAATATAATAATGTATAAATAACAAAAAATAATAGACCCCCTAAATATTATTATAAGTTCTTATTAGTTATAAGTTATTTATAAATTTTTGTTATTTATAGTAATAAAAAACTTATAGTATTTGTGCATTGGACATATTGTTAAAATTTTCTCAAAATTGTTTAGAACTACTGTAACATTATGTAGCACATGTGTATTGAACTTATGAGAATCCAAGTTGAAAGTTAATTAAAGATAATTGAATCAGTGTAAATGTATCTAAAATGATGGAGAACATTTCAAGTAATACAAAATACTAAATTATTTACCGTTCTTATACATATATGCAGAACTTACTTTATGATGTGCGCGTACTGATAAGGCACGATAAAACTAATTTCAGGAATTATTTTTCTTTCTAATAATAAATTTGAAACCGTTAATAACGTGTTTAGATAGGTCTCAGAAATATTTTGCTTTCGATTACATATTGTGTACGAGTGTTTCTGGTAAAAGCAGGATATAGCTTCTTCTCTCATTTGAATGAAACAGTAAAATTTCCAACGTTCTAGAGCGAAGTATATTTATTTCATAACTTATTTACATACTAAGAACTTATGTTCAAATGACGATTCTGTATATGTAAAATAGGAAAATCCAAATGAGTCGAATGGTTTTTAGATATAATCTTTTCCTTTTCAAAAGGGTAGTATAGACTTATATCTCCAATAACCTAAAAATAAAACAGACTACTTATGCGTGATGTTGCACTGAAAAAAGCGTTATTCGTTGGTTAATGTTTATAATTAAAGGATAATTAATTGTTATGATAAGATTTTAAGAAGATTACATCTTGAAATTTTATTTGAAATTTTTTATGTTAATATTCAAGATGGATGAAATTTCAGATATTCAAAATGTCGCAATTAAAGTGACATATTGCTAACTAATCTTTTTTTTTTTTTTTTTTTTAGTTGGTTCGTCGCTTGCGCATTTTAC